GTGGGTTCGAATCCCACTCAAGGCATGGATTTATGCGTTTGTTTCATGTTTGTGTTGTCCTGTGTAGGTAGCGGCCTTGCGACAGGCTGATCCCCCGTCCAAGGAGTCCTACCGTCTGTGAATTTCAGAATTAATGCTGACTGGGAACATTCCAAAATAGATCGTGATCCGTCAATGCAGAGAAAGAGAAAGTAATAAAAATAAATAAAGAAAAGAGAAAGGTGCAGAGGTAAAGCTATCCCTGTAACAGGCCGTGGAGGTCTATAGGCTTGTGCGAAGTCGAGGCTCCCACATTTTATAGACAATCAGCTCACAGAGGGCGGTGATGCACGAGCCGGTCTTTACCCGCAGGAAGATTCCTGGTACTCATTTCTGTTAGAGGCTGAGTTGACCTCAGGGCCATAATGCGACTGGAAGGATTACGTCAGTTGAAAAATCCAATGACATCAGGAATCGAACCCGCGACTTCCATGATGGTAGCCTAATGCCTCAAGGAACTACGCTACCGCGTGCCCCAAAGGAAAATACAACAGAAACAAATGAAGAAAATGTAAAAAGGAGGTACAGATGAGAGGAAAGGTTTGTTGGTTCCGAGGCAATTTCGAGCAATTGTTTTCAATTAATGGTCGTCTTAGGAGTTATCTGGCCTTGAGGCTGCTGACTGTGTGCGCTGTAGCCGAGCGGGACCGCCACCCATTAACCTGCCCCATGTTTTCGCACGAACGGTATATGTATCTTCAATGTGTGGCATTATTATAAACCTTTAATTTTCGGTTGTGGGTTCTGACACCACCGCGATTACCGACGTTTCAGAGTTACCTAGTTACTTCTTGGTTCTACGGTCCCCTAAGAACCTGGACCTCCTTCACGACAGACCCCAATTTTATCTATTATTCTCGGTCGGCGCTCGCAAATCACTCTCTGCATCTTCAGCTATGTCGATCAGAAGAAACTGCTTCCTTCATGTTCATGGTACGCTTCAGGGGAGGGAGAAGTGAGGGCTGAGGAAAATGGAGCGGAGAAAAATAAGATAAATTAGGAGGAAGAAAGGATAAAGAGGAAGAGGAAACTGAAAGGGGTTCATCGCAGTGTATACAAAAATGTAGGTTAGTTTTATTGATTGATTTTTGAAAACACTCTTCGAAATGCAGCATGTATATGATTATCGTACTGCTTGGTAGTAGACCTTATCTCAAAGCCGTTGCAACTGTTGATATCTTGACCAAGAAGAAATTTAATTTTCACCGCCTTCAGAATTTGTATGTTCCGTCTTGTATATATATATTTTTTTGTTTATTTGAAGTAATTACTGCCTCAGTAGAGAATAGCAGCTGTTACAGGTGGATACTTCCAGTAAGTGTATGCTTCGTAGCTGTGATTTTGAGTGATTCACGTAAAGTTTACAGCATCAGTCTCCGCTTTAGGTTATGGTGGCAGAGATACGTAAGTATGAAACAGATCCTGTGTTGTTGGCCTTCGGCACGGATGGGGTCTAATGCTCGATCCGAAGGCTGGCCCAAGCCTGTGACTGGTGTTTGCATGATTCACTTGCTGTGTCGCAGCGACAGGTGAGGAGTGAAGAGATTACGTTATCCCTGTACTCACTTATGCAGTTATGAAGATGTATGCGGGAGTTACAGTCCATTTGCGGAGACGAGACAGTCGCCACAGCTGACAGCAAGGACTGGACAGAGCGCGCAGTTACTTCAGTGCACTCACTGCATTCGGACGCACGTTAACCTGCATTCAGATTGGAGAGTGAACTTTGGACGCCCCTGTAATGGTACACCCATCACGAGATCGCTGCATGATTTCATTTCATGGTTGAAAGAGCGAAGGAGATACCGCGTGCATTTGTTTACGAGGACTCTCTCGTCTCCGCGAATGGACTATAGTTAAGGTGTGGCTCCATTATTCTTGACTTCGGCACTGGATGGAACTGAATTGGTTAGCTCCACGCCGCCTGCCGCTTTACCCCCGGCTGGATGGACTTCAGTGTCGGTGTGGACGATATGGAGGTCAGAAAGATCTCTTGACCCTGCCGGGTATCGAACACCGGCCGTCCAGTCGGTAACCTAGTCACCATACCAACTGAGCTATCCCGGCTCATAGGGGTGAGGTGTATAAAAGCTTACTAAGTTTTGCAGAATCTTGTTCTGCTTCCTCTCAGAAATGTAATTTACCGCTGTGTCAATATTGGAGAGCGAAAGATGCACAAAGCCGTTTTTAGATACCACTTCTGAATGAAAACGTAGGTAGGAAGACAATATTGAAACAGATACTACAGTAACAGATTTTGGTTATGTAAAGTGGATTAAACTGGCTGAGGACAGAGTTTAGTAGCAACTCTTTATGATAATCTTGATGAACCGGCAGGCTCAATAAAATAGGCACACTTCGTGAACAAATTTCCCTTGCATGCTGTGCCAGTTACGAGTACTTGGTTAATTAATAAATTATTTATCCAGTTCATTTTGACATGTGTTTGTTTCTGATTATCGAATCGATCAGTTAAGCGTCCAGTTACTTAACTACTAATTTAATTTGTTAGTTGACCACTGATCGTTAATCGGTTAGGTAACTAGATAGTTTCTTAGGCAGTTAGCTAGTCACTCAATGCAGAACTTAGTTAATCTGTTGGATATATAAGTTGTCTGTTAGTTACAGAGTGGATCATTTTCAGTCCAGTGTGACATACGAGTTTACAACACTTCAGTCTTTTTCACCTTACATGTTTCGATTCAAAGGAATCATCCTCAGAGGCGCACCACTACGATAAGGAAACACTGTCACATAAGATATTTTAACAATATGCACTTTAGATATGACTAATGCTCTCAATATAAATTTTGCTATCACGGTTGGTTTTGTTGTTTGTTTTAGGCACTCAAAATGGCGCTTCTTGAAGTGTAGATTTACGTATGATGAGTTTCTTTTAGTGTATTTCCTCGTTATTCTGACTGGGGTTTTTCACTGCGTGCAATATGGTGTTCACTTTTCATACATTAGCCTCCCAGTGTATTTAAAATTGTATTAAAATTATCTTTTTCTTTTTTCTTTATTCATAGCTTAAGTGCATATTGTTAACACATCTTATGTGACAGTGTTTCCTGATCGTAGTGCTGCGCCTCTGAGGATGATTCATTTGAATCGAAACATATAAGGGGATAAAGACTGAAGTGTTGTAAACTTGTACGTCACACTGGACTGAAAATTATCCACTCTGTAATTAGCAGTGTGACGGACCAAAATGAGACAAATTATGTTTGTTAGTTATTCAGTCAGTAATTTGATCAGTGAATTAATTTGTCGATTACTCAGTGAATATTTACCTGCTATAGGGAAATGTTAGTGGGTTCGCCTGCTTCGTGTGTGATGACAAGAGAGGGGAGATCTTTGGGACACCCGGTATACATAATCTGTGGACGTCCTTGTATTCGTGTGCTATTTGTTCTCTCGTTTTCTACGTGTGACTCCATTCAGTCTAAGTCGCTAACGAAGGCTGAGTAGACATGTATTTTTCTTGTGATATGTCCTGCAAACATTTGGCAGTAGTTACATAAGTAAGGACACGGACTGGACAAGTGAGACTGCTCGTCTGGATACTTCTAGAGATTCATGACAACCCGCGCAGTAGTTCAGGCGGGTAGACACTGGCTTCTCACCTCGGAGCTTGGGTTTCAGTACCGGGTGACTTCTTGTGAAATTTATGGTGGAGGAAAGACATGACCAGGGTTTACTAAGAGTATCTTCAGCTTTCCCCTGCTAATCATGATTCCACCATTGCTCCATACTCATCTGTCCCATCCCTCTGAGATGTGTGATATCTCTGATCAGGCAGCACATTATCATATTTTCAGTCTTTATGCTGGGGTTACCGAGCAATTGGCTGGTTACAGGGCGAGGAAGGCTCTATTAACTGTTAAACGAGCGAAGTTTTGAAGCTGTGACAATTTCCCAGTTTGCGCTCTTTACGCTCTGTGCTTGTTCGCATAGGCCTCCACGGCCTGTAACAGGAATAGCTCTCTTTGCTTTGTAAACCCCTGTCCCTAGCTGTCGGCACAGTTTTTATCCGTACCAGTTATTAGTATGACGAATCACGATAGCTCAGTTGTTATGAGCTGGACGACTGAGGGATCGCAGATCGTGTCTCGGCAAGGGCCGATCGTCTACAGGGTTCTTCCAACTTTTTCTGAAATGGATACCTGAGGCCTTTCTCCCGGGAATATCGCCTGATGCTGACCGTCTCACCCAGTGCCGGGGTTCAGAATGTGTGGAATTCTACCTCCATGCCTTCACATGTTTTAATGGCATGGTGTTTAGTTAATAAGATAAAAAATGGAAGGTTGTCCCTGTGCTTAACTAATTAAGCACTACGAAATAAAGACGTATGGTGGAGTGGATGTATAGATCCATGCATTCTTGACCAAGGCACTGGATGGAGGTGAGTGGACAACTTCACGCTCCGGCCGCTTTATCCATGGGGAAAGAGCCTTAGGTACCCATTAGATAGGGGGCTATTAGGTGGTCCCCAGAACTGGTCTGGATGCATTGGAGTGGGGATAAATCATGAACCTACCGGGATTCGAACTCCTGACCCCTCAGCCGTCCAGCCCTGCGCTATTCCGGATTAAGTACAGCGACAAATGTTACTTTTAACCTTAGTATGCAAGAATGATGGAGCTATACCTCCATTCGCCTATGCCTCTTCACGGCATGGCGCCTAATTAATTATGTACATGGACAACTTTACCTTAACCTCGGTGCGAATGAAATGAAACCCGCCAGGTACGGCCCCGTGGGAACCGAAAAATGCTCCGAACAGAATGGAAATGTTTTTAGTCTCGCAAAAACCAACTCATATGCAGTGTTCCATAATGAAGTGCGACGGCCAGAGAGTTCTAGCTGGCGCATGCGTGATGCATTCTCTGTGTATCTGGTTCTGGTAGTGAGGAGAGGGGGAAGTGTCCCCGCCTCGCAGGCTAGCAAGCGAAGACGCGGTGGTCCGAGTAGTTGCTATGCGTTCGAGTAAGCGATTGAAGTGGGAGATGTGTGCAGAATTATGAACATTATTCCTTTTAGCTACAATATGCACTTGTGTAGTCATTTATTTGTACATCGTGATCCGTTTCGTGTGTGCTTCATGTGATTTTATATCGTGTAAATCGGATTTTATAGTCATAAGTTTATGATCCTAACCTATTATGTGCTAGCGAAATATTCTGTGTTAATGTGACAGTTAATGCTCTTTGTGTACCGGTGTATGCTTAATGTTTACATGAAATTGCTCTCGAAGGATATTGTTAAGTAAGTAAACGGCATTTATATATCTTAATATTGTATTAAACATTCTCGTAAATTATATGTGTGTTGCGTGTTTCTAAGGAATCAGAGAAGGGAATCCAGGAGAGTCACTGCACATTTGATTCTGACTTCTTGTGCCTATGAAACATATCAGTGTTACAGTTTGTGTGTTTACATCGAGTTCTTCAGAGGATTTTGCAAGTAAGTAAAGTGGTTCTCTTTATCGTAGGGACTTGCTATTTGCTTTAAGACGAGTTAATTCTGTTACGGGAATTGTATTGGATGTGAGGTTATCACAGCGGTGGTTATGAGGGACGTAACGGCGTGTAGTCCGTTGAAAGTTAACCAACGTTTCGGAGGAACATATCGCCTCAATTTTCAGGGTCGAATAAGCCGAGCAAGATAACAGCGAGAAAGCAGATGGCTGATATTTTGCTCGGCTTATTCGACCCTGAAGATTGAGGCGATATGTTCCTCGGAAGCGTAGGTTGACTTTCAGCGGACTACACGGTGTTGTATCCCAGAAGACAGTGCTCTTCGATTGTGTTATGGTTTATGAAAAATTGCTTATATTTGCTTCAAGGGCGCCGCTAGGATAATTACGAAGGAGTGGGTGGGGAGGTCAGCCAGAAGATTGGCTTGCCAACTTACACTAAGCCATGTGCGAAAACTTTTACACGTCGCTCCGATTTTGCCCCCCCAAAATCGAAGGGGGTACGTGCTTAGCTTCCCCCCCCCCAACCTGCTCCCATGATTTCGGCTAAAATTGGAACAGACATTTCTCATGCATTAAGCGTTAGACCGCGGCTCCAGAGGTGGGAAGTAAAAAAAATCTATAGACTCTCCCGTCGTTTGACACAGCGGGCAGCGCGTATATTGCTTCGCCTTGGCCACGTTTGTGCACCCAGGTCAGGCAGGCATCTGTGCTTGGGATGTGAGACGAAAGCTAATGAAGGGATTTGTCATGGGCAGTGCGGACGCGTTAATGCCGTGTGTTTCTGAGTTATTCATCGTGTGTTTACTAAGTAACAGGAAGTTAGTGCAAGAAGTAACATCACGGACCGCATAGAAAACGAAAAATTTGGTTGGGGAGGTGGGGAATACACAAACGCATCAAGGCGATCTCGTGAGCCTTCTAACAGAAGTCATGGTGGGGGACAGACGGAGAAAACACAGACAGCAAGATGGGCTCATAAGGGTCTTTTGTTTTTCAAAATAAGGAAAATAGGATAAAAATATGCCTCTGGTGAACAGAGACATTTGATTTCCATGGGGACACACTATCAGGAACAGGCTGTAGCGTAGTTCCTTGAGGCACTGTGTACAGGCCGGAAGTCCGCGAGTTCGATTCCCAATGAGGTAATTCGATTTTTCAGTTGACCTAACCCTTCCAGCCGCACTATGGCCCTGGAGTCGACTCACTCTAACAGAAATTAGTACAAAGAATCTCCCTCGGGTTAAAGAGCTGCCGGCGCATAAGTCTGACAACCTCGCTGCCATCTGTGAGCCGATTGTCTAGAGAAAATGTGGGAGCCTCGACGTCTCACAGCCCTATGGGCCTCCATGGCCTGTTAAAGGGATAACGTTACCTTTTTTTTTCGGATTTGTTGCATACTTCCAGAACTCGTTACTACATGTAACTGCGACAGTCTCATTAATGTACACATTCCAAAGATCAACTGCAGCGCATATATAGTCTTCACAGGCTTGACTAGCCGTTGCTTGGTAGCGGCCTGCGACGGCGGACTTTCCCTTTCTTCCGGGTCTCCGAACTGTCACCGGCCTCAGCTGTCTAAAGTCAAAGTTACGTTACGATCGACGATCAGTCGGCCACTCGGTCTTGGTGTCAAGCCCCATCTGGGGCCCAAGACCAATTTTTTTTTTGTTTCTGTCAGACAGTTGAGGGTTTGTTGTGATGGGTGCCCTCTTTGACGAGAGGACGGGTCTCTCGTTTGCAATTGCTGCTGTCCCTCGCCAGCGTAGTAATTCTTGGGTCGGGACTCATGAACGCGTTATACTGTCTTTGATTCGAGATTCCTCCAACCTGGAGGTCCAGGGCCAGGTCCCCGTATTTATATACTTAAGGAACAGGGTGGCCCGCTTAATATCCCCAGGAACTGGGTTCCCTTTTCATCGCCTTCTACTACTCGCAGGATTACGGTGGTGGTATTCGAACCCGCCTCCACACGAGGGACTGACTGAGCCGAATTACAAGTCTTCCTTATGTAACCCCGGCACGGATCGCGCACAAAACTCCCATTATTGTGTGTTTTCTTGTTGCCGGGGAAACATGTCCACAGAGCTGTTCCCTAGCAGCGACTCTTGTACCGTCGCTGTTTACAGAGCTGTTACTTGGCAGTGGGTCTACATGCCACAGTATGTACTTAGAGATACGCAGAGGGTGAAGGTGTTGGATACTAATGGATAGAAGGGGTGGCCTGAATGATTGATGCCGTGAGCCGTGTCACAGAGCTCCCTGCGATGTTGATTTCTCGAATTAGTTACGCCGCAGTAACTGACTTATGATTACTTTGCTCCCCGGTTTGTTTCCTTGAGAATAAGCGACTTGAAGCTGGGGAACCCTGCAGAAAGGATCGCTACGGTTTGTGCCGTTAGTACCACAGAAAATAGGGCGAAATGGACCGTGAAACGGGCGCCTAGTACTGAGCACGAATAAGAAGGTACGGAATAGCTCGGTAGAGCGTCTGGCCACAGCCTGGACGGCCAAGGTGTCGGAATTCCAGTACCAGTTGGATCTAAAATTTTCTTCTCCCCACGTCCAGACAGGCTCTGGGGCCCCACCCACCTCCACCCCAGTGGGTATCGTGTGCTCTTTCCCCGGGGGGTGAAGGGGGCCACTCACCTTCCTCTAGTGCCGAGATGAAGAATACATGTATCTATACATCCACTCCTCCATGCATCTTCATGGCGTAGTGCTTAATTTCTTAAGTGCAGGTACAACTTTATAGGCCTGTGTGTAGGAACCGAGGAAGGAAGTGACTAGCTCTGCGTTGCTTAGCAACAGATGCAATTTCGAAATGACATAGTTTGGAGCTGAGGAAAGAGAACGGTTAGTTTAAGAACGTATTGTGGCACAAATTTCGAAGTAGGAGCACTGAAAAGCAGAATTGTGATGATATGCGCGAGAAACAGGAATATGTTTCTCCGTGCGGCCCATTTCAGTAGGAGCTGGGATCGCTTACTTCGCATTGCGACGGGCTAGACTCCCGAGGCTCGTGGGGTTCTCATCTGCACAACATCTGCCCAGCCTCCTATGGAATAGCTACCGGGGCATGAAGCAGGCCACTCACCTCCATATACCAGAGAGGTCACAAACGTCTCCACGGCGTAGTGCTTAAAGAATTAAACAGAGGGACGGCTTTACCTGACCCATTGCGTTGGTTCTCACACACAGGTGCTTGCGGAGTGACTGCGTTAAGCGCAAGGGAGGCACACGTTGTCTGGTCGGTTTGGCTGGCCCAGACTCTGCGTGTATACTTACCGGACAACTCTCAGAAGACTGTGGGGCTGCTACAGACCGACCCCTTCAGTGACTCATGTACCGCCCTTCTCTCGAGATCGGAGTCGTAAATTTTCTCTTCCCTTCCGGTCTTCGTTTGGAAAAGGGGGTGTCTCGCTCCCGGAAGCCCTAAGTGGCAAGATTCGTTGCCATCCTATGAAATTGCCCCTTCGCTGATTCCAGGGGGAGTGGATTCTTAATCTCTCTGCTACATGATAGAGGGGGTGTTTTAAATTAGGCTCAAAGTTAGTGGCGTTAGTTATAGCAATACAGCACGCGGTAGCGTAGTTGGTTCAGGCACTATTACAAGCAGGGAGGTCGCAGGTTCGATTTCCGATGAGATTACTGGATTTTTCTATTGACCTAATCCTTGAAGCCGCACTATGGCCCAGTGATCGAGTCAGCCTCTAACGAATGAGTACCAGGAATCTTCCTGGGGGGTAAAGGGCAGCCGGCGCGTAAAGCTGGCAACCTCACTGACATCTATGAGCCGATTGTATTATATCGTATTGAACTGTTGGCTATGCAACGACCGCGAGTTTGGCGGATACACCAGGGCCGTTTCTCCGCAACGGCACGGTAAACAGAATAGTGAGTTACTGTCGCCAGCCACGGTGCAGCTGCTGCTTTGCTATCCCGCACGCACGCACACACACATTTCGTTCGGATCCTTTTGAAGAGAATTAGAGGCCTTCGAGCGGCTGCAGTCAGTACGCCGTGTGGTATGCATGCGCCTGCCATGCTCTCCAGTCAGGTAGCTGCGCGGTCTTGACCCAGAACACTGCAAGTTGAATCCCTAAATGGACGAGTCGGACTAAATGTAGAGTTACTTAACAGCGAACTTTCTGACATCACAGCCAAGAGGCAAAAACACCACTCACACCAAACCACGCGATCTGTTAGCTATTTACCAATGTTCCGGATTTATTTGCTGCCTCCCGCTTCAGGGTAAAATTAAAGGTAAATTTCTCCATGTGTTTAACGACTTAAGCACTACGCCATGAAGGCGTATGGGGGAGTTGATGTATAGATTCACATTTCCTTGAACTTGGCACTAGCTGGAGGTGAGTGGTCAGCTTCACACCTCGGTCGCCTTACGCCCGGGGAAAGGACCCCCGGTACCCATTGGGTAGGAGGCTGGGTGGGCTCCAGAGCCGTTCTGGACGCTGCGGAGGAGAGAAAATTCTGAAACCTACCGGGACTCGAACTCCGAACCCTCAGCCGTCCACCCGTAACCAGTCGCTATACCGACTACACTATCCCGAACCCACGTCTTGAAAGTACAGGAGTAAAATGTGAGCAGGGTTCGCCGACGTGACCGTAGCTACTACCACACTGCACGGCGTCACACCGCAGACCACAGTAATGTTCAATGTTACCGCCGTGAGAACCAGAAGTTTCACATTGCTATCATATCAACACTGTCGGCGTGTTCAGCGTGTCTTCGGTTCTTCAGATTCAGCTAACTGTAAGTGCTGTCAAGTTGGTTAGTGTAGCGGTAACGCTCTAGGCTGGTATTCAAAAGGTGCTGCGTTCGAGTCTTGGCCGTGAATCATGTTGCATGGTGGGGCAATTGAATCTACGAAAAATGTTACGATAGCTGAACTCGGGACCTCTCGAACGCTTGGCAGGAGTGCCAACTGCTCCATTGCAAAATTCGGCCATCGAAACTGAACAGTTA